CGCTTTTAACAGTATTCCAGTTATGTCACGGCGTGTCAGCTTAATGTGGGAGGAAAGCCCAAGGTGATGCAGGTCTCAGACGTTTTCCACTTCGGTGAAACCCACGAGCACGGGTATGGTGCTGACAAACCTAGGAACATAATCGGGGCGAACCGGGATTCGAACTCACATTCATAGGTTTCTGGCGTGCCCAAGGGACGCAACTCTGCACAGCCAATCGCGGCGCCTTAGACGACTGGGCCACCCGTGCCCCCGGGCGTCTATGACCCGAGACACTTCGGGCTTCTCTCTCTCATTAAGCTGACATTCTATGATACATTCTGAAACAGTTCAAAGCGTTGTAACAAACAAGGAAAAAGACCATTTCAAGAATCATAAGAAATCTCTGCTAAAAGCAGAGTCCATTGTAGGATTCCGAGTATTTCATAAGCATAGTGATGTTTATGAATCACTATCAGATAGTGACTATACCGGGTGTTCAGGAAAAATAGGGTGTGGTCGGGTAACCTAGTAGTAAAAGCGTTCGCTCGTCGTGCCTAAGTTCGAATCCCGACATGGGTACAATGTGTGAAGCCCATTTCTGGTGTCCCCCGCCGTGATACTGCTGGAATATTGTTAAAAGCGGCGTAAAACCAAACTCACTCACTCACTCAGGAAAAAGAGAGCGTATCCTGCCTTACCGGTGGCAACCGTCACAAACACAAGTAAAGGCAAGTCAATTAAACACTTGAGATTCGATTACAGACCGCCGTCATATAGCTGGAATATTGCTGAGTGGGCCGTTAAAAAACAAACAAACAATTAAAATAATAAGTTGAAGTTGAGACCAGAGTCTGAAATTTTTGTATTCTTCTTTTCCAGTATTAAAAAAGACTCAGAACAGTGTTTCATTTCAGTCGATGCCAAGTCTTGAGATTATTCCTATCAATATAACGATTTTTGCTGTCGTGGCATTAAAAAACACTGATGATATTTCCCCAAGGGTTTCGTTTTTTTGATTTTGTGTCCTAAAAATGCAGGGGCGGTCCGGTAGCCTAGTGGTTTAAGCGTTCGCTCGTCACGCCTAAGACCCGGGTTCGATTCCCGACATGGGTACATTGTGTGAAGCCTATTTCTGGTGTCCCCCGCCGTGATATTGCTTGAATATTGCTAAAAGCGGCGTAAAACCATACTCACTCACTCACTCACTCACTCCACTCCACTCCACTCCACTCCACTCCACTCCACTCCACTCCACTCCACTCCACTCCACTCCGCTCCGCTCCGCTCCGCTCCGCTCCACTCCACTCCACTCCACTCCACTCCACTCCACTCACTTGAAATGCATTCATTTGTCTATGTGAAAAGTAAGATTATTAAAAGAGGGGGTACTTTTTGACAGCTCTTTAGATCTGGTATTCACAGAATATTGTTTCATATATTTCTATTACAGACGTGGTACGCCTGTTTTGAGAAGCAGCAATCGGATTCTATGTTATTCAGATTTTCGATCTTGTCGGATCCGACGCTTCAACACCACAGTGCTTAGGGACATGTGCCTCACTCATGCAAACAACACTGACTAAATCTATCTGCCCTAAGATATGCCCATCATAAGTATAACACTCAGGCGTTTTTGAATACTCGGATGCTTCGACCGCTTATCGGCAAATAATTTTTAAGAAATACTTATCTTTCCTTACCGCAGACATAACTACTTTTACACAATAGAGTGAGTAAGTATGGATTTACGCCGCTTTTAGCAATATTCCATTAATATCAAGGCGGGGGGCACCAAAATGGGCTTCATACATTGTAGTCATATCGGGAATCGAACCCGGGTCTTCGGCGTGACGAGCGAACGCTTTAACCACTAGGCTACCCGACCGCTCTTTATTTAACAATAGGAATTAAAAAGTCCATTCATGTATGTAGAGGGGGCACGGGTGGCCCAGTCGTCTAAGGCGCCGCGATTCGCTATGCAGAGTTGCGTCCCTTGGGCACGCCAGAAACCTATGATTGTGAGTTCGAATCCCGGTTCGCCCCGATTATGTTTCTAGGTTTGTCAACACTACACCCGTGCTCGTGGGTTTCACCGAACTGGTAAACGTCTGAGACCTGCATCACTTCGGGCTTTCCTCCCACATTAAGCTGACACGCCGTGATATAACTTGAATACTGTTAAAAACGGCGTTAAACACAACTCACTCACTCACTCACTAATTTTTACATAGACTGCCCATAGACGTACCGCTAACATCGTTATGTGGGACGGGGAGCATGTCATTAAATAACGGCTGTCGGATTCTGTTTGCCGCTTCAGACTCGTGAAGAGCCGGACTCAAGCAACGCATGCTCGTCGTAAGAGGCTATTTATTGCCTTTGCCGTAAGAGGCGACTAACAGCGACACACGTAAGTGAGTGAGTGAGTGAGTGAGCATGGTTTTGCGCCGCTTTTAGCAATATTCCAGCAATATCACGGCGGAGGACACCAGAAATGGGCTTCACACATTGTACCCATGTCGGGAATCGAACCCGGGTCTTCGGCGTGACGAGCGAACGCTTTAACCACTAGGCTACCCGACCGCCCCTCACGTAAATGAATTTGCACATGTGTAACTATACATACGTGTGTATATGTAAATTTACTATGCGTTCACCTGACAATTAACTAATATGTGTAATTAAGGTATGGTGTTTTGGTTGTTTGTTGTTTAACGCCGCACTCAGCAATATTCCAGCAATATGACGGAGGTCTGTAAATAATCGAGTCTGGACCAGACAATCCAATGATTGACATCATGAGCATCGATCCAGGCAATTAGGAAACGAGGACATGCCTCAACCAAGTCAGCGAGCCTGACCACCCGATCCCGTTAGTCGCCTCTTACGACAAGCATAGTTGCCTTTAACAGCAAGAATTGGTGGCTGAAGACCTATTCTACCCCGGATCTTCACGGGTCTAAGGTATGTAAATAGAGTAAGGCACACATATTCATCAGTCTGTTCACGACTTTCAACATTGAAAGGATCTTTTCCAATCAAAGTCGAATGAGAACGAGTGTTACTTTAACAGAATTCTTCGCATGAAGCAACATGATTTAATCTTTACACACATTTTTGACTCCTTGAAGCCCAAAGAGTGAGTAATTAAGTATGGCTAAACGCCGCTTTTAGCAATATTCCAGCAATATCACGGCGGGGGACACCAGAAATAGGCATACTTTGTACCCATGTGGGGAATCGAACCTGGGTCTTCGGCGTCACGAGCAAACACTTTAACCACTAGACTACACCACCACCACCACCACCACCACGCCCGTGACACGAGCTGTGTGCGGTGGAGCGTTGTCCTGTTGAAACAGCTCCCTCTGGCGGTCAATGATTCTAAGAGTGAGTGAGTGAGTGAGTATGGCTTTACGCCGCTTTTAGCAATATTCCAGCACTATCACGACGGGGGACACCAGAAATGGACTTCAAACATTGTACCCATGTCGGGAATCGAACCCGGGTCTTCGCCGTGACGAGCAAACGCTTTCACCACTGGGCTACCCGACCGCCCCTGATTGGAAGAAGGTGAGGTTGAAGAATTTGATTCATGTAGCGATTTGCTGTCAAATTTCTCTGAACCATAATCAAGTCAGATCTGTTGGTGTAGGATAGAGACCCCCACACCATGACACTACCGCCACCGAAATTGTCGAATTCACGTACACAATGTGGGGCCAAACGCTCAGTTCGACGACGATAAACATTTTGTCTTACATCTCGCCGGTGAAGAAGAAATCGTGATTCATGGCGAAATCACACTCGTCTCCTGTTTCTCAAATTCAAAGGCTGCAATATATGGCACCAACGTAAGCGTCGCTGTCGATGGATCTGTTGCAAAACAGGGACGATAACTTGTCTTCTGGGTCGGATTCCAACCTCGCGAAGATGGTTCCGGTTGCCCCCTCAAACCAGGGATGCGTCCTACAGTCTCCGTAGCTGTGGCATTGCGATGACGTAGGTGGAACAGTCGAAAGTAGCGATCCTGTACAGGTGTGGTAACTCTTGGACGGGGGGTTCTCGGACAGTCTGCAGCGGAATTGAACTGTGTGTATCGATCACAAAGGCGGCAAATGGTGCAACAGAAGACTGCGATTCGCCTCTTTTGATGGCGATATTTCGATCGGCGGCGCTGAGTCTCGGCATTTTCGAACTTGAAAAATGTTGACAATTGAATGACAAATTATTGGCTTATGCTTGCCTTTTTATAGCCACTACCACGAGTTACGAATGCCATAACTTGCAGGGTGATGCGTTAAAGAACAAACAAACTGATCTGTTTTTGAATATGGAATCAAAAAAGAAAAACGGAGAATGAGTGTATGCATGTGTATTTCAGTGATTCATTCATATAGTTTTCGACCCCTCAAGATCCGGGGTAGAATAGATCTTCAGAAACCCATGCTTGCCGTAAAAGGCGACTATGCTTGTCGTAAAAGGCGACTAACGGGATCGGGTGGTCAGGCTCGCTGACTTGGTTGATACATGTCATCGATCCTAATTGCATGGATCGATGCTCATGATATTAATCACTGGATTGTCTGATCCTTACTCCATTATTTTACAGACCGCCGTCATATAGCTGAAATATTGCTGAGTGCGGCGTTAAACAACAAACAAACAACATTCTATGCTGTGGTGCCTATCTCTGCTAACGGCGGGGCGGTCGGGTAGCCTAGTGGTTAAAGCGTTCGCTCGTCACGCCGAAGACCCGGGTTCGATTCCCGATATGGGTACAATGTGTGAAGCCCATTTCTGGTGTCCCCCGCCGTGATATTGCTGAAATATTGCTAAAAGCGGCGTAAAACCTCACTCACTCACTCACTAAAGGCAGTCCATTGTACGATTCCGAGGATATCATGAACATGTGTTTATGGGTCACTATTATCCCCAGCCTTGACAGAGACGGGGCAGTGCATCTACAAGTCGGTTTTAGCCCCGTAATCATAAAAAGAATAAAACAATAACACATATTGACAGATATATTTCGACTTTATCGAGTGAGGATAACATTCAACCAATAGGCGAGCACACTAAACGTGTGCACGTGAATTTATTGCTACTGCATGTGCACGTGTTGCAGCCATCAGACGCCCTGACGATCTGCCCGTTACTGTAATACTTGTTGGTGCCGATGTCATAACACGCACCGACTGAAAATAACAATAATAATAATAATTAGTAGTAGTAGTGGTAGTAGTAGTAGTAGTAGTAGTAGTAGTAGTAGTAGTAGTAGTAGTAGTAGTAGTAGTAGCAGTTTTTTTGTTTATTGTTTAACGCCGCACTCAGCAATATTCCAGCTATATAACGGTGGTCTTTTAATAATCGAGTCTGGACCAGACAATCCAGTGCTTGACATCATGAGCATCGATCCACGCAATTGGGATACTATGACTTGCATCAACCAAGTGAGTGAGCCTGACTATCCGATCCCGTTAGTCGCCTCTTACGACAAGCATAGTCGCCCTTTATGGCAAGCCTGGGTTGCTTAAGACGTATTTTACCCCGGATCTTCACGGGTAAGTAGTAGTATTAGTAGTGTTTGTAGTAGTAGTAGTAGTAGTAGTAGTAGTAGTAGTAGTAGTTTATCCTGAGTGAGTGAGTTGGTATGGCCACATTCAGCTATATTCCAGCAATATCACAGCGGTGGACACCAGAAATGGGTTTCATACCTTGTACCAACATTTGCAATCGAACCCGGACCTTTAGCGTGACGAGCGAACGCTTTACCCACACGGCTAGGAAACCGTCTCTGTGAATTGGCGCCGTTTGGCTTTTTTGTAATGAGATCCTGCCAAATAATGAGGATTATTTTTTGTCAGACGAACATGGAATATATACATTTTGTGAAACCCCTTAATTCTGATACATAATTTGATATTCATTCATTCGCTCCTCTACTTGCCGTAAAAGTTGACTATGCTTGTCGTAAGAGGCGACTAACGGGATCGGGTGGCCAGGCTCGCTGACTTGGTTGATACATGTTCACGTATCCCAGATTGATGCTCTTGCTCAATTACTGGATTGTCTGGTCCAGACTCTATTATTTACATACCGCCGTCATCTAGCCGGAATATCGCTGAGTGCGGCGTTAAACAATAAACAATTTTTGAAACAAACAAACAAAATGCTTCTCGCAATACGTACCGACGCCCGTGTTGCACAAATTGTTCGTGCACGACAGAATACCCGTGCTGCACGTGCAAGTGTTGCAGCCATCGAGTGACGTGTATGAATCGCCGTCGTTGTGAAACAGGTGTTGCGAGTTGTCATAGCAAGTACTTCCGGTGTGCGAGTTTCCGCCGGGATGAAGATTGACTCCTGAAAATCGAATAGGTGAGTGAGTGAGTGAGTGACTCGGGTTTAACGCCGCTTTGAACAGTATTCCAGTTACGTAACATCACAGCGTGTCAGCTGAATGTGGGAGGAAAACCCGAAGTGATGCAGGTCTTACGCGTTTACAAGTCTGGTGCTGACAAACCTACAAACATAATCAGAGCGATTCGGGATTCGAAACCACAAACATAGGTTTCCGGTATAGATAACGTCTTGTCTCTGAAATGAAAATATTTTACGAACATGTTGTTAAATTATCTTAATACATTATATCAGTAAAAAGGAACCCAGCGATTCTTTTCACTTTCAGAGACCCTGAGGTGAGGTGAGGTGAAATTTGGTTTAACGTCGCGTCCAAGATTATTGCACTTATATAGCGACGTGCATGCACGTGTATGTGTGTGTGGCTGCTTGTACTAGTCCGGACTGATGCCGATTTATAGTGCTAGCTCACTGAGATACCATGCCGCAGTTTAACATGAATACCCCACTCAGACACAGTATACTGACTCCGAGCCGACCAGTCCTTGTTTTAGCCCCTTAATGTCGAGCGCCAGACAGGGTAACAACAAGTACCATCTGTTAACGTCTTTTGGTATGACGCGGCCGGGGATCGAACCCCGGACCTTCCGCTCTCCGGGCGGACGCTCTACCACAAGACCACGGAGGCGGCCCAGAGACCCTGAAACAGCTGTGATCGTGACTTCTATTATATTATAGAATTATTATAGAATTATAGAATTGCATTGACTCTATTGGATATGTTTCCTTCAGGGTCTGTGTGACCGACTCGTTTCTGATACATGTAAGTTTCGAATCTGTGCACATTGAATTGAGACCGCCTCCGTACACTAGTGATAGAGAGCGGAAGGTCCCGGGCTGGATCCTTGGCCGCGTCATACCAAAAGACGTTAAAAAATGGTACTTGTTGTTACCCTGCATGAAGAGTCTAAAACAAGGACTGGTCGACTCGGAGTCAGTATACTGACTGACTGTATTCTGAGTGGTGCATTCATGTTAAACTGCGGCATGGTATCTCAGTGAGCTAGTACTATAAAATATGCATTAGTCCAGACTAGTACAAGCAGTCACACACATACATGTACACACACGCGCACACACACACACATGCATGCAAGTCGCTATATAAGTGCAATAATCTTGAGCGCGACGTTAAACGCCATTTCACCTTTCACCACACTGAATTGCATCTTCCCGGGGCAAGAGAGTTAACTGACTATAAACGTCCAGTTTCCACCTTTGCCGAACTAGGCTGGTATTATGGAGTTACATTTTGGCTGGACTAACGAGTCTATGCATAGTCCAATCACAATCGCGCACCGAAATCGAAATCCGGTTCGTAAACTGTCGTGCAGATTTCGGTCGATTGCAAGATTTGCAAAACATGTGCACCGCCAACTCGTTGTCAGCAGATATTTTCCAAATCTTTTCATGTTTTTAATCAAGGTGCTCACGTGATTTGATGCATTTCGCGATGTAAGACCCGTTTTATCACAATATAGATCTTGATTATCGATCAGATCGTCCTGACACGGCGCCACCATTTTGTGTGAAGCAAACGCAAGTGATGAGAGAGGTGGAATCTGATTGGACCATAGGAGAGGCTTAAAAGGGACATAACTGGTAATAGCCACTGGTGGCGCTACGATCGTGCCCAGTAATTCCAGCCTAGTTCGGCAAGGGTGGAAACTGGACTTTTAAAGTCAGTTTACTCTCTTGCCTTGGGAAGATGACTGAATTGAGGCACCTTCGACGACTGAGCCAAGCTGACACGCCGTGAAATTTCTAGAATAATTTTCAAAGTGGCGTTAAAACCAACTTACTCACACACCAGATTTAATCGTTCCAGAGATAAAAAAGAAACATGCAAGTGTAGGATTGAAAGAAAGGCTAGTTTTTCATAATTCATAATTTTCATGTCAACATTTTAAAGTTTTTAATAACTTATATAATTTCCAGGCAGACAAAATGGCCATTTTTCAGACGTCATTCATTTGGATTGACGATTCTTCATTACCTATGTTCAGCCCTGTGCACGTGTTGTGCGTGCATACGATGTTCCCGTTGGTGCACGTGCAGGTGTTACAAGCATCAGATGACGGGTATGTTTGACCATTCTGGTACAGCTGAGATGTTGCTGGGTTCACGCACGTGCCTGCTGTGGAAGTCCGCAAAATGCAGGACAAGAAAATACGTTCAACTTGTGCAAAACATGACATTCGAGTTAAATTATATTGACTTTTACCCCGAGGAAAACGTCATGATTATAGCGACTGGTGTGTGTGTGTGTGTGTGTGTGTGTGTGTGTGTGTGTGTGTGTGTGTGTGTGTGTGTGTCTGTGTGTCTGTGTCTGTGTGTCTGTGTCTGTGTCTGTCTGTCTGTCTGGGCCAGACTCGATTATATGCAGACCGCCGTCATATAGCTGGAATATTGCTGAGTGCGGCGTAAAACGAAAACCAGACCAAACGTCAACCCTAATTACCAATGCCTTGTCCTGTGCACGTGTTGTGCGTGCACACGATGTTCCCGTTGGTGCACGTGCAGGTGTTACAAGCATCAGATGACGGGTATGTTTGACCATTCTGGTACAGCTGAGATGTTGCTGGGTTCACGCACGTGCCTGCTGTGGAAGTCCGCAAAATGCGGGTCAGAAAAATACGTACAATTTGTCCAAAAATGACATTCAAGCATTGATGATGCATCACAAAGACGCATGTGTTCATTGTTATTTCTGCATTCTGATTAGCCGAATCGGTCCCGTGTTATTGCATTCATTTCCCAAAGAAGGTAAAACAATTAAACCACGCCCACCGAAGCGGACTACTTTTATGTGTAAGGAATGTCAGGGAATCCCAATATTACAGTCGAAAGAATTCCCTTTCTGCTTAAGTGTATCGTCATGCACAGGACATTCAGCGAAATTCATGCATATTCATCGTCCAAGTGTCTGTCTGTCTGTGTGTCTCTGTGTCTGTGTCGGGCGGTGGGGTAGCCTAGTGGTTAAAGCGCTTGCTCGTCACGCCGGAGACCCGGGTTCGATTCCCTACATGGGTACAATATGTGAAGCCCATTTCTTGTGTCCCCCGCCGTGATCTTGCTGGAATATTGCTAACAGCGGCGTCAAACCATACTCACTCACTGTGTGGAGAAGGGTGGGGGTGGGGGTGGTGGTGGGGGACTATTGGTCAACCATAAATAATACTCTTCATCTGTTTCTCGTAACATTAAAATTAAACATTTCAGGGCGGCCAAAAAGGATACACTTCATACCGCCGCCTTCGAAATACAGTAAGTTTGGTATAAAGTGATGTCACTTTAATGAGATATTGACATTCCAAACAAACAAAAAGTCATTTCGATTCGGGGAATATCTATTAATTTAGTAAATGAATAACAGATATCTAACTGTACATGTTGCAGAAAATAGATAAAAGTATGTCTTTTTTAAACAATAGTCAATGCTTTAATCAAGTGATCTGTTAATACGATACGTGGAGTTAGATGCATGTTGTCCGATCGTATCATTGATTTCTGCTGATGCAACAAAGTAGTATTTTGATAAGTTTGAGCTTTTTTCAGTACGTACAGACACATACGCACACACGCATGCACGCGCACGCGCACACGCACACACATTACATATTTTTGCAAGACGCATATATAGAGAATACTACACGCATTCTCGTTAGATACCATTTTTACGAAACGAGTGGACTTTCTATGGTATCTGATCGAGCGAAAGCGAGGTCAGATACCATAGAAAGTTCGCATTCGTCACCACTCGCCCCTTTCCGTAACCTGCAAGAAGACTCGTCCCCCTATCGATGACTGTTTGTGCGAAAATATGACAAACCAATCAGAATGGGCGTATGATTTCGAGTTCTTTCTCAAATAATCTCTCATAAATAGTTTTAGATTTTACATATGTCTTGCATCTAAAAATATAACCAAGACACAGTTAAATGTGTTCAATCATACTGTATAATTCCGCACGTCCCGATGTGCTTTAAATTGCATCTGAAATATATATAATATATGGGGAAATATATGTGAACCATTACGCAACGAGTTGACAATTGTTTTAGGTATGCCCGTTTGCGCTAAGACGGGACCCAGTCGCAAAAATGGCCATGAGAGGGGCACGAGTCGCTGTTCGGCTTGTCCTGGAATAACACGAATGAGAAATTTCGTTGACAGACCTAACTGAAACCGGTTGCAAAATCTGGTTGCGCATGAATATTGATACATGCCCAAATATGGGCATTGTTGACATTTCTGTGCATACGCATTAACAACATGCGCCTGCAGTCGTGTTTGCAAACATAACAGCACCGACGCTCAAGATCCTTTTAGAAGAATTTCTTCAGCTTATGGAAATTCAAGCGTCATGTTGTTAGTACCCAGGACACCTATGAGAAAATTTGGAAAGTCACAGCACCGCGCTTTGAATATAGGACCAACAATCGGTAACTCGCACTCCCGTCTGTGTATTTAAAATTGCTCGGTTTCCTTGATCTATCAGCTGAATTAATATCACGTCCGTACCATTTTGGAAGAGGGAAATTAGAGTCCTCGCCATAGACATTCATGTTAACTGTACTACCCTATACTGAAGACGTGAAAATCAACAAACTCAAGGCTGCTTGCATGTTAGTGACAGCATCGTACGAAGGGCAAGGTCACCACCGGAATAAGAAAAGACAACCGTGATCTACACACGGCGTTTTACGCTAGAGATAGGGAATGTTATTGTTCACATTTGTGCTATTTTGGGTATTATAATCAGAAATCAGTCACACTTCTGCGGAGTTTTCGAATGATTTGTATTGGAAATGTTCACTTTGAGTGATCTAGTACTAGTAGTGCAGTCGTGAACAAACAACTCCCGAAACAGTGCCACAAAATACGCTTTGAAGGGGACACTGCAATGGCACAACCGGATCATCCCAAGTAAGTCTAGATATCTGTCCAGATAGCTTAAACTGACTTCATTTCACCACGCTTATCCCTTTACGTTCAATCAAATTGAAAGTTGCTAAAGCGGTCGGGTGCGCCACGCTGATGGGGACCCTCGATCTATTGATCGGTAGGCGTACTTCGTAAATGGATATAGCTCGATTGTATAATGTCTATGGAAGCTCAATGCATAACTTATACATAGAATGCAAACCGAATTTGATGCGTGTGACTATGTTGTTTGGTTTAATAAAGTGTTAGTAAATATCTCTCGCGCTCATGAGATTGCTTCAGTTCTGCCTGCATTGTTGTTGCAAAATGAATGACGTCTCGCGATTTTTTTGTAAATGAAAAAAGTAGTCCCGTTGTGACGGAGGTCACGGTTATCCAATCAAATGAATAAAACAAGGTCAACCTTGTGGGACACACGTGTGACGTGCGAATTTAAAGTCCGTTTCACTCCAAATGAGAACGATGAATTGCAAAATAACTCGAAATTCAGAAAAGTGTATGAAACATCAATACGTTACTTGACCATGAATACCCTGTACCCAACAAAATCTGAATTTTGTTTGATTTAAGACCCATGACGGATGCAGTTCTTTAAGAAACTATCATGTAATTTTGTATAGAAATATGTACATAACACGTAGGGGGACAAACCGTGGAAGGAACAGCGCAAGCACGGTCTGCACGTGCTACACAGTGACCGTGTTCATTCAGTGACAAGATGCGCTACTCAGCAGATGTTAAACAGTTGATGTTGAATGTGTATGATTTCTTTAGAAGTGAAGCAGAAAGAGCAAAGCCTTTTTATGCAATTAATAAATTCTTGAAACGAGCTTCAAAAGCTCTTGGTATGTCCCCTCAGAAACTTTGAAATGTTGTTAGTCGCCGAGATACAAATAGTCAGGCCAAGGAGGTAGGGAACATGTCAAAACCACGCAAAGTTGATAAATTAGACAGTTTTAAGAGGGATCAAGTCAGACGTGAAATTGTTAAACTGCACTCAGAAAATAAGTACCTGTCCTTAAGAATTTCGAAGAAACACCTTGAAACTGACCATGATTTACGTGTTACAAAGTACAAACTATGGCAGCTGTTGCATACATTTGGTTACAAATACAAAAAGATAACTGGAGAAAATAGGGCTGTGTTGTGTGAACGGTCTGACATTGTTCGTCTCCGAAATCATTACCTTCGTACCATCAAGCAGAAACGTGAAGAAGGATATGAGCCCGTCTTCTTAGATGAGACATGGGTAAATGCGTCACACACAGCCAGCCAATGGGAAAGGGTGAAAGACTCATAGTTCTCCATGCTGGTTCTGCTAGTCAGTGTTTTCTCCCAGACTGTGACCTCGCCTTTAGAGCCAAGGCCAAAGAAAACAGGGACTACCCCACAGAAATGAACGGCAATGTATTTCTGGAGTGGGTGAAAGATAAATTAGTCCCTGCTTTGCCTACCAAGTCTCTCATTGTCTATGAAATCATCAAAACTATGAAACCTGACCCCGTGTATAAAGTTGACAGTCACATTAAGGGTCAGGGTCACGCTGTCTTACGACTGCCACCTTATCACTGCGACCTGAATCCAATCGAGTTGGTATTGGGCATCGTCAAGGGTGACGTTGGACGATCGAACACAACGTTCAAATTACGAGACGTTGAACAACTCGTCAAGGAATCCCTTGGTCGGGTAACAGAAGAAACATGGAGGCGTTGCGTGGCCACAGTCGTTGACGAGATAGAGCCACGTTATTGGTCACGAGATGGACTACGGCCAGCATCAGTCCAACCTATAATAGTGGCAGTCGGTTCAGGCACCAGCAGTTCCGAGATCTATGGCATGAGCGAGTCAGATAGCGACTGAAATTATCATGAGACGGCCCCTCTAACACTCTGTCATTTCCCCTACCACAGACCGTGCAGTGCATGCGTGCTTGCGCTGTGCCTTCCACGGTTTGTCCCCCCTACGTGTCATGTACACATTTCTGCACAAAATTACATGATAGTTTCTTAAAGAACTTCATCCGTCATGGGTCTTAAAATAAACAAAATTCAGATTTTGTTGGGTACAGGGTATTCATGGTCAAGTACCGTATTGATGTTTCATACACTTTTCTGGATTTCGAGTTATTTGGCAATTCATCGTTCTCATTTGGAGTCAAACGGACTGTAGTATCTTACCACCTGTATCTTCACCACGTGGGTAATAATGCCGCATATATGCGTACAAACTGTGAAGGGTGTAAATAAATCACTTCATCATACCTCCATGTTAGAATGATGAGATCTGATTGGTCCACGTGATCTTGATAATATACTGTGTTACCCCCTTACATTTCTCAGCGGGGGAATAAATCTTTTATACCCCGCCACGAGCAAATCAGGTTTCACGTGGATATCTGAGAGACAGAATAAATCCCTTACACCCCGCTTTCTCCGAGTCAATGAAAGTCACGTGGCATAGCGCAAGGTGTTTTCTATTAATTTTGAGTTTGTTTAAATTCTTTTACAATGTCATATTAAAACATGTCGGTAAGAAAAGTTCGTTTACAACTTATTTTGCGCGTCCGGAAGGAAGCAAAAATGTATGACCACATAAGTTGTAATCCAAATTGTAGATTCCATGTTATATACAACCGAGTGTCAGTGATTGATTTTCTGCATTATAACATTGTAACCCTCCATCTGTAATAGTGAGTGAGTATCATTTTACGCCGTTTTTAGCAATATTCCGGCGGGGGACACCAAAAGTGGACTTCACACATTGTACCAATATGGGGAATCAAACCCGGGCCTTCGGCGTGACGAGCGAACGCTTTTACCACAAGGCTACCCCTCTGACCCATCTTTTAACGTGAGTGAGTGAGTGAGTGAGTGAGTGAGAGAGTATGGTTTGACGCCGCTATAGCAATATTCCAGCAATATCACGGCGGGGGACACCAAAAATGGGCTTCACACATTTGGCCATGTGGGGAATCGAATCCGGGTCTTCGGCGTGACAAGCGAACGCTTTAACCACAAGGCTACCCCAACGACACATCTATAATATCCTTATGGACATTGCCATAACATCAGTATTTGGACTTGCAGCGTGCATTGTGTTGCAAACATTATTACAGAGCGTCCCCTATCCTCAAGTTAATAGACACAAGTAGATCAAGGAAATAGCCACATGCTTTTCAAAGAAACCCTCATTACCCATACCTTGTCCTGTGCACGTGTTGTGCGTGCACACGATGTTCCCGTTGGTGCACGTGCAGGTGTTACAAGCATCAGATGACGGGTATGTTTGACCATTCTGGTACAGCTGAGATGTCACTGGGTGTAAGCATGCTCCTGATGTCCGAAAAATATGTTCAATTTGTGCAAAACATGTAATTTCAATCAATACTGATGCACCACGAGGATGCGTAACAACATATGATATTCCTTTTTAACGAGTGAGTGAGTATTTTTACGCCGCTTTTAGCAATATTCCAGCAATATCACGGCGGGGACACCAGAAATGGGCTTTACACATTGTACCAATGTCGGGAATCGAAGCCGGGTCTTCGGCGTGACGAGCGAACCTTTAACCACTAGGCTACCCGACGCCGCTTTTAGCAATATCCCAGCAATATAAAGGGGACACCAGAAAACGGCTTCACACTTTGTACCCGTTTCGGGAATTGAACCCGGGTCTTCGGCGTGACGAGCGAGCGCTTTAACCACTAGGCCACCCTGCCGCCCTAGTCTGTTGGGTACAGCTGGGGAAAATATTGTTTTCAAACCCCACCACCACTGAAATTGAATGAAATGTAATCGAATTTGTGTTTGTGAGTGAGTGAGTGAGTGAGTGAGTGAGGCAGGCTTTACGCCGCTTTTAGCAATATTCCAGCAATATCACGGCGGGGGACACCAGAAATGGGCTTCACACATTGTACCCATGTCTTCAATCGAACCCGGGTCTTCGGCATGACAACAAACGCTTTAACCACTTGGCTACCCGACCGCCACTACAGCGCTTGTTCGTCAAGGTATAGCAAAATGTTGATTTTAGTGTTTTACTTCGATATCCTTGTCACTTCAACCTAATTGCCCAATCGCCCAAAATGAAAACATAAAGAAGAGAGTAATACTTATGTTGCCTTGGAAATAAATCAGGACCCACTGTATGCATCCTCGATAATCAAGTGTATACGGCGATGACTTTTAAGTCGTCAGAACGGCATCAAAAAGCGCAATTTTGTAAGGGGGAAATAACGAAACAGGAATTGTTTTTAGCATTATCGTTTTTTCAATGTATTTACCTGTGCCTGGTACAGACACGGGTCCTGTGACTGGTCTGGCTGTTACGGCTCCCGAACACGCTGTGGCGGTACACTGAATCCCTGTCACGGTGCACACACATGTGTTACAGCCGTCAAGACTGCCGAACTTGCTTCCCAGGAACTCGAAGACCCCATTGTACAAGCAGCCGACGTCTTCATTGAGAAACGAGAATAGTTTGTTTAACGTACGTCACAGGAGAGGAAGGGATGATGATGAGGAGGAGGATGAGGATGATGATGATGAGTGCGTGAGTGAGTTGGGTTTTACGCCGTTTTTAATAGTATTCCAGTTATATCACGGCGTGTCAGCTTAATGTGGATGGAAAGCCCGAAGTGATGCACGTTAACCATTTCGGTGAAACCCACGAGCACGGGTATGGTGCTGACAAACCTAGAAACATAATCGGGTCGAATCGGGATTCGAACCCACAATCATAGATTTCTGGCGTGTCCAAGGGACTCAACTCTGCACAGCGAATCGCGCCGCCTTAGAGGACTGGGCCACCCGTGCCCCCTGATGATGATGATGATGATGATGATGATGATCCAGGGCTGGTATCCCAATATCAACCACCCGCTTGCTTGGTCTAGAATTGAATATATACTGTTTCATACACTCAAAAAATTCTTTTCACATACCCAGCAAACCGGTGAAATTGGTCTTCAGCAACCCATGCTTCTCGTGAGTGACGACTAATCTTATCGGATGGTCAGGCTTGCTGACATGCTTTAAGCATGCCATCGTATCCCAATTGCGAAGATCGATGCTCATGGTAGCAATCACTGGATTGTCTGATCCAGACTCGATTTTTTACAGACCGCCGTCATACAGCTGGAATATGTACCAGATGTACCCCGAATATGACCCTTGGTTCGCCAGCACCATATCCATGCTCTTGAGTTACACAAAAGTGGTAAACGTCCCAACCCTTGGTTCCTACAACCTTTACCATGAAGGTAAGTTTTGGAGAACTTCTGTTTAAAATTTCATTTCCTAGGTGTTTAAGATGCGCAGCTTGAAATATGAACAGCATGTGCCCTATGTGCTTTGGACGATCCCACTATTTCTGACAGGTAGTGTGCCTTTGCTTGGAATTCACGTGCACGATACCGTTACAAGTAACAGCGCCACGCCCTCCATGGAAAACATATTGACCGTGTCACTTATTTCTTTCAAATAATATGATATGATATGATATGATATGATATGATATGATATGATATGATATGATATGATAATTTTTGCCTACCTCCATTTGCTCTTTTATCTGAAATGAATAGAAAATTTAATTTAATTTGGACCAGAAAACAGGACTGATTAACTCACGACCCCGACACTGGAACAAGCATGCGTTTCTTTGAAGGGGTTGCATCCAAAACATGGTAGTAAATTACTACAATCTGCCCAGGAAGTTGTAAGTGAAACAGTGTCTTGAACAGTCACGTTCAAAATTATGGGAAAATGATACTCAGTTATAACTAGACACAGAATAATCCACTCAGAAAGTTATTCAAAATTCTCCAGATGTTGGACACCAGCGAGAGTCCCGGAGATCTTATCTTACACTGATAAAACGCCTCGCCTTTATAAACCAAACGAGGACAATTCACTTAAACACACTAACAAACACGCATGTTTGATTAAAATACAAAGCCAAAAATCAAGGTAATATATAAACATATAAAATATATAATTTCGATAGAAACAAATATCTCCATTTAAATTGAACAGGAACCCCAGTGAGATGGAACATTCTGAAGCTATTCTAGACTTGCTTTATTGGGGTTTTCCATTACAGAAAAGGCTGGGCGGAAGTGGAAATAATATGGTCCAGAGATTGTAAGACAGAAAACAGTCAAGGCTATGACTTGAAAATGTAATTTATCTTTATATATTTCATGAGGGGCGGTGGGGAAGCCTCGACTCCCTACATGGGTACAATGTTTGAAGCCCATTTCTGGTGTCCCCCGCCGTGATATTGCTGAAATATTACTAAAAAGCGGCGTAAAACTCATTATATGTTTCATGAAAAAACATTTAAAGAGAAAAAGACCAAACCATATTGTTTACATGTCAGCCTAAATCCAGAGAGTCATTTTTGAAATAATGGACATTATAAAAGGTACCAACCTGCATTTAGCGAAGCGGCCTCACCCCAAGCAAACAATAAACTACAAATAACAAGAATATTCATTGTGAGTCGAGACCAGAGAGTCCTGCGGGCCGAGCTCGTGTGTCGAGTTGTGTTCCTAGTCCTGGCTTGATAAGGATCTGTCTTGGGGTCGCACATGTGAAACTGTTACCTATGATATACAGGGAACGTGCTGGGTCGAAAGTTCGGGTAATGTGTGAACTGTGAACTGTGACCAGTGGCTCCTCGGTTGAATGTTTGAATCCCATTCTGGAAGTGTTATGTAACATGACGTATTTGTGTCCTACATATTTTGAGAACGGTGGCTCGGTTTTTGAATAGACCAGTGGCTCCTCGGTTGAATGTTTGAATCCCATTCTGGAAGTGTTATGTAACATGACGTATTTGTGTCCTACATATTTTGAGAACGGTGGCTCGGTTTTTGAATAGACCAGTGGCTCCTCGGTTGAATGTTTGAATCCCATTCTGGAAGTGTTATGTAACATGACGTATTTGTGTCCTACATATTTTGAGAACGGTGGCTCGGTTTTTGAATAGACCAGTGGCTCCTCGGTTGAAAGTTTGAATCGTATTCTTGAAGTGTTATGTAACATGACGTATTTGTGTCCTTCATATTTTGAGAACGGTGGCTCGGTTTTTGAATAGACCAGTGGCTCCTCGGTTGAAAGTTTGAATCGTATTCTGGAAGTGTTATGTAACATGACGTAATTGTGAACGGTGCCTGGTTTTAGATAAAATCAGTGACTCCTAGGGAAGAAGGTTGGAATGTATTCTTTCAGTGTTATGTATGATGACGTTTTTGTTTCCTTTTTACCTTGTGAAAGGCTACCGCTTTTAGAATAGACCTTTGACTCCAAGGGATCAGCGTTTAGTTCGTATTCTGGCACTGTTGTATGGTATGGCGTTTTTGTATCCGTTTTCACTTGTGAACGGTGCCCAAAATCATTCAGTAACTGTGCAAGATAAATAAGAGGCACTGCGAGATCATTCACTACAATTGCCGTTTGAAATAAATCTTTCAAAATATTTCTGCTGCTGTTCTTGTTATGATATTCCTGTTGTCTTCTTGTTCCTGTTGTGTTCCTGTTTCTATTTGTACCCCTACTATACTATGAAACCTGTAGAAAATACTGTATGGAGGAATAGTTTTATCTGATGTGAGTGAGTGAGTGTAGTATTTCGCCGCAATGTAACAGCTGCATCAAGCAAAATTACATGGGTGACGATTGATGAAACCATATACCCTCATAAGTCAGTTCTAACGACAAGCACGGGGAAACAGTTCTTCCCAGAATATACACAGGGAGACAAGCATGGGGTAACAGTTCTACCCAGAATCTACACAGGGAGACAAGCATGGGGAAACAGTTCTACCCAGAATCAACAGAGGGTGACAAGCATGGGGTATCAGTTCTACCCAGAATCTACAGAGGGTGACAAGCATTGGGTATCAGTTCTACCCAGAATCTCCTCAGGGAGACAAGCATGGGAAAACAGTCGTACCCAGAATCTACACAGGGTGACAAGCATGGGGTATCAGTTCTACCCAGAATCTACACAGGGAGACAAGCATGGGGAAACAGTTCTACCCAGAATCTACACAGGGAGGCAAGCATGGTGTATCAGTTCTACCCAGAATCTACACAGGGTGACAAGCATGGGGAAACAGTTCTACCCAGAATCTACACAGGGAGACAAGCATGGGGAAACAGTTCTACCCAGAATCTACACAGGGAGGCAAGCATGGTGTATCAGTTCTACCCAGAATCTACACAGGGTGACAAGCATGGGGAAACAGTTCTACCCAGAATCTACACAGGGAGACAAGCATGGGGAAACAGTTCTACCCAGAACCTACACAGGGTGACAAGCATGGGGAAACAGTTCTACCCAGAATCTACACAGGGAGATAAGCATGGGGTAACAGTTCTACCCAGAATCTACACAGGGTGACAAGAATGGGGTAACAGTTCTACCCAGAATCTACACAGGGAGACAAGCATGGGGTAACAGTTCTACCCAGAATCTACACAGGGTGACAAGCATGGGGAAACAGTTCTACCCAATATCTACACAGGGAGATAAGCATGGGGTAACAGTTCTACCCAGAATCTACACAGGGTGACAAGAATGGGGAAACAGTTCTACCCAGAATCTACACAGGGAGACAAGCATGGTGAAACAGTTCTACCCAGAATCTACACAGGGAGACAAGCATTGGGAAGCAGTTCTACCCAGAATCTAGGGTGACAAACATGAGATAACAGTTCTACCCAGAATTTCTACAGGGAGACAAACATATGGTTTCAATTCTACCATGAATCTCCACAGGGTGATAAGCATGGGGAAACAGTTCTACCAGGAATCTCTACAGGGAGACAAGCATGAGGTAAAAGTTTTGCCCAGAATCTACACAGGGTGACAAGCATGGGGTAACAGTTTTGTCTAGAATCTCTACAGGGAGACAAGCACGCGGTAACAGTTCTTCCCAGAATCTCCACAGGGAGACAAGCATGGGAAAACAGTTCTACCCAGCATCTACACAGGGTGACGTGCATGAGGAAACAATTTTATCAAAGAATCTATACAGGGAGACAAACATGGGGTATCTCTTCTACCCTAAAATCGCCACAGGGTGACAAGCTCGGGGTATCAGTTCTACCCAGAATCTCCACAGTGTGACAAGCATTTTGTAACAGTTCCGCCCAGAATCTACACAGGGTGACAAGCATGGGGTAACAGTTACGCCCAGAATCTACACAGGGTGACAAGCATGGGGTAACAGTTCCGCCCAGAATCTCTACAGGGAGACAAGCATGGTGTAACAGTTCTACCCAGAATCTACACAGGGTGATAAGCATGGGGAAACAGTTCTACCAGGAATCTCTACAGGGAGACAAGCATGAGGTAAAAGTTTTGCCCAGAATCTACACAGGGTGACAAGCATGGGGTAACAGTTTTGTCTAGAATCTCTACAGGGAGACAAGCACGCGGTAACAGTTCTACCGAGAATCTCCACAGGGAGACAAGCATGGGGAAACAGTTCTACCCAGAATCTACACACGGAGACAAGCATGGGGTAACAGTTCTACCCAGAATCTCCACAGGGAGACAACCGTGGTGTAACAGTTCTACCGAGAATCTTCACAGGGAGACAAGCATAGGGTAACAGTTCTACCCAGAATCTACACAGGGTGACAAACATGGGGTAACAGTTCTACCCAGAATCTCTACGGGTAAGTTTCCTTAATACGACACATTTGATCTGATTTATGCACTAGTCGTAAGCACCGCTGGTTTCAATATTGAAGTTGTTATTTACATAAACCGGGTCGATGTTTCGATAGTTGACTGAAGGCCTTGAGTCTCAGTTACATTTGCCAATTATGCTGAGTCATCAACAAAAATGTTTAGGCTGAGACACACACCCTCCCCCCGACACACACACAGACACACAGACACAGACACACACAGACACACACACACACACACACACACACACACACACACACACACACACACACACACACACACACACACACACACACACACACACACACACACACTCACACACAGACACTCACACACACTCACACACACACTCACTCACTCACTCACTCACTCACTCACACTCACAGTCTCACACACTCACACACACACACCCACTCACTCACTCACTCACTCACACTCACAGTCTCACACACTCACACTCACACTCACTCACTCACTCACTCACACTCACTCACTCACACTCACACTCACACGCTCACTCACTCACTCACTCACTCACTCACTCACAGTCACACACACGCATTACACACTTTGTATGCCCTTTACGCCGAATGGAAACTGTTTCGTTGGAGAATCGAAGATGGCTATTCTCTACATTCACTGACGTCTTATATACTGTTTAACGCCACACTCAGCAACATTCCAGTTATTTGACGGCGACCTGTAAATAACCACGTCTGAACCAGACAATCCGGTGATTGACATCATGAACAATGATCTGCGTCATCAGGGTACAGTGACACGCGATCAAAAGTCACCGAGCCTGACCACCCGATCCATTAAGTTGCCTCTCACACTGTGCATGTACAAGCAGTACAGGTCGTTAAGAACCTCCTCTAACTCGGATCTTCAACATGCAAAACAGAAAACTTCAAAACAGGCTATGTCTCACTGGCACATCCTTTTGGGGTTCATGCGTACCGATATTAAATATAGAATACTAAACAAGCTCCCGTGTAATACCAATTTTATGAAACGAGTGAATAGTTGTGGTATCTGACGAGCAACTATTCACTTGCCATTTATAACGTTTTTAGAATTATACTGATGAGTATGAATAGGCTAACACCTACACGATCCACGGCATAGTCCAATTGAGTTTAACAGAATAATACTTCAAACACGTCAAAAGTTGAAACGTATGAATTTAATACCATACAACGGTCCACCTTTAGAATTCAGGCGTCCGTTCCACAAAATTATCGTAGGGCTAATCGCAACTCACATACGTTAACTTAGACTAACGACTGTCGTTGCACTACAATACGATCGCCTTCTGGGCCTTGCACCACAAAGTTTACAATCACGTCACAATACCCGATGACGTAAATTATGGAATTTTGTTGCAAGATCCATCGGCGGAACAATGCCATGTGACGTCAACCTAGCAACAAGGTTGCTGGGGTCATCGATTGTGCATAAGCTCCTCTCAGTGATCTACTATCTCCACACGCAATGTCGTTGAATAAGCCAAGGGATGTTGAGAGCTTTCAATATTTGTTCGTGAAACGTGTTCCGAGAGTACATTAGCACGCGTTTTGGTATTACACAATGTGTAATACAGCTGTATGTTTATTAAACGGGTGATCTCTTCACGGGCAAGTAATAAAATCAATTATTACATCATGAATAGTACTTTAATCAGTTGGTGGCACTGGCGCCGCAATTCAATGTGCAGAGTTACGCACCTTTGGCACACCAGACACTTATGATTGAGGGTTCGAATCCCGGTTCGACGCGATTTTTTTGTAAGTTTGTCAGCACCATACCCGTGCTCGTTGGTTTTTACCAAAGTGGTAAACGTCTAAAACCTGCTTCGGGATTTTCTCCCACATTAAGCTGACACGCCTGGAATAACCGGAATATTGTTCAAAGCGGCGTTAAACCCAACTCACTTTGATAATTATTTTATAGTTGTTGTTATTTCATCATGTTTAGCTGTACTAATCCGTACATAGCTCTTTATCAAGCTCGTTACACTCATAGGAGTGCTGTAGAGATAACGTGTATTACAGATAGCTAAATATTCTCAGTGTTTGTTTGACCTTGTCTACAATAAGGCTCGCAGCCTTTGTTTTTCTACCTAACCATTCCTTCGTACCCCTAGGGTTAGCACTGGGCCCCTTCATACACGATTGGTCGTAAGAGGGGACTAAAATAGATCGGTTGGCCAGGCTCGGTGCTTGGTTGATTGAGTGTAATCATGCCCAAACGGCCTTGATGTTGTTCTTATATCAATCACTGGATTGTCTGGTCCAGATTGGATTATTTACAGGCCGTCGTGGCATAGCTCGAATATTGCTGAGTACGGCGTAAAACAACAAACAGACAAACACTTCCGTCCTAATGTCGTAACTGCGTTCGGGCGTCAAGTGCGACCCTAGTACAGTTACTAAATGTATTGCCGCTCCTGGTCATCATGGTCAATTACGCCATGACTTTGCCACTCGCCTTGTCCGCAGCGGCTCGGCTCCGTCAAGGAGTGAATAGTCTAACGACGCTTACTCAAAGTTGTCTCTGTCAGCATTCATACTCGCATAATAAAGAAACGCAACACCAACTTTATACTCACATAGTTTTACTTACTCTCAGCCCATCTATCAATACAGGACAGGATCAGACTGGCCAGACTCGTCACTAAATGGGGAAAACTTAGAACGATCGGGATTCGACTCGATCGATTGCAAACCGCGCTCTCCTCTCCTAATGTAAAAGTAACATTTTATAGTGTTCGGGCCTTGCCTGTCTTTGTCACATGTTACAATACCTCATTTTGATTCGTTAAAAGTTAGATCTGACCATGAACTCATGTGTGTCGTAATCGGAAAAATACAGAAGCCTACGTGCCAGATTGCTCATCTCTCTTTTGATTTGTGACTTGCTCTAGGGTCACAGCGTGTATGCGGGGGTCGTGAGCACCTGTAGATATAGACGTCGGGGGTGCTGACAGATATGGATAACCCTCTGTGGCTTGCGGTCTGTGGTTAGCGGCAGAGGTGATAGGACAGCGTACACCCTCGACAGCAAGCGTGTAGCCTGAAGCCGGATTAATGATTTTGCGTGGACCAGACGCAACGGGGGAAGTGCTTGACGCTCCGCCCTATAGAATGGGGTACGGCCATCATCTACAACACTTAAAAATACTGGTAATTCACGATCAACAAGTGAATAGTACCATACCAACGATAGAAATATTAATATACTACTCAAAAGAAGTTAAGGATAACCTGATTCTTTCATATTACTTTAGTGAATCTCTCATGTCATGACAGATTAACTTTACCGTTATGAAAGAATCGGGTGATCCTTATCTTCTTTTGAGAAGTATACATATAAAAATGTGACATCTGCATCTAAGACTTCTGCCTGTAAAAAAACTAAGACTATGTAGACAATAATAGTCTTCTGGCATATGCATATCTGCATATAAGGATCATAACGACAGGAATTGAATTTCTGGACTATTCATTACAGGTTCACTTGCTTAGACCAATATAATAATAAAAAGACATTAATAAACACGAACAAATCGCAAAAACTCATGGACTGCTTCAACAGTACAGTTTGATAAACTATTATAAAATTCTAACAAACAACATTCAGCAAAAGCTTTGTAGTTAATAACACCAGAACGGACAACGTATATAATTATTATAGGATGGACTGAGAGCACACATTGAAACAACGATACTAATTGAACGTAGTAAGTAATATAGAAGATACACAATAGTAGAATAATGTAACGTATTGTCACCAAGTGACCTTCAGATGACCATCATATGAGAGAACCCAATTCCAAATACAGGTCTTGTCTCTACAGAAAAGTAATTAATTCAATATTGTCACAATAATGAGATGTAATAATTAGAAATAAACTTTCTCCTTGTAATTCGGAATCTGTAAAGGGGGATAACTAATATGATAAAATATTTCAAATTCGTAACCATTTTATAGTCTGATCTTCTCACTGTAAGCGTTAATAACACTGACAAGCGTTAATAACACTCACAAATAATTAGTCCGTAGAATGGTTGAAACAAAGCCATTACAATATGAGATATTACAGGAAGAATAACCATTATCTAGATAAGGGAATCATCATCATTATCGTCTCATGGCAGATGGCAATTTGTATATGAATTATGTCGGTAATGTCGAAAAGCGACTCCACAATGTTGAAGTACCATAAAAACACCGGTCGTTGAAGGAAGGAATCGTTTTAAACAAAACGCCCTAAGCCAACTTACATTTATCCATGTAAAACTGCGGCATGGTATCTCAGTGGGCTAGCACTATAAATCAACATCAGTCTGGACCAGTACACGCACGCACGCAGGCACGCGCGCGCGTGCGTACACGTCACTTTATAAGTGCAGTAATCTTGGACGCGACGTTAAATCTCATTTCATCTCTTCTTCCCCGCCTTCCTTCAACAGAACACAATTTATAAAAATGTAAATCAGGAACTGGTATTTACAATGTAACCTGGATGGCATGAATCGGTGTTCATGCTATCAAACACTGGTTTTGTGAATCTTGTTCACAGGTCCCGAGCCAATGTCAAAGGAATGTAAACTCACTTATACCCAAAAAAATATTCATGACAATTTAGAAAAGTCACTAAAGCGGCCGGCAAATGTTCGTTAAGTTACGTGTCTTCATCAACTGATACACTTGACACTATAACGGAGGCGAGTGGCATAAAACCTAACGCGGGACGTGTAAAACCCCATATAGCCGAGTGATCCTGCTACAAATTGATGTTATCGACATGTTTTAATATGACATTGTAAAATAATTCAAACGAATTCAAAGTTGATGGAAAACAGCTGTTCGGCTGAGTTGTGGTTAGCTTGCGCTTTGTCACGTGACTTCCATTGACTCGGAGAAAACGTGCGGCTATTCTGCCTCTCAGAAATGCACACGCAGCCTGCCTTGCTCGTGGCAGGGTATAAGGGATTTATTCGCCCTCTGAAAAATGTATTCCTCTCCAAGGCGGGTTACACAGCATAGTATCAAGATCACGTGGACCAATCAGGTCTCATCATTCCTTTCTTATGCTTCTCTTCCTATTACTATTATAGTGATGCCGTTCCTTTGCAAAATAGGAGTGTGAGGGCGAGAGCTGTTCTGTATTGTTTGTTTGTTTGCCGCACTCAGCATTGTTTGTTTGTTTGTTTGTTGTTTAACGCCGCACTCAGCAATATTCCAGCTATATAACGCTGTCTGTAAATAATGGAGCCTGGACCAGAAAATCCAATCATTGACATCATGGGCATCGATATGCTCAATTGGGATACGATGACAGGCATCAACCGCCTCTCACGGCAAGCATGGGTTGCTGAAGACCTATTCGAACCTTGATCGTCACGGCAAGCATGGGTTGCTGAAGACCTATTCGAACCTTGATCGTCACGGGTCAGAATAGGTGTACGGTTTTTCGTATTGATATGAACAGTTTATTAATACAGAATATATCAGAATATTGTGGAATTATCCTTTCACGTTTTTATGGTGTAACCAGGTCCAGTGAGAGGATTCGGGGTAGAATAGGTCTTCAGCAGCCCATGCTTGCCGTAACAGGCGACTATGCTTGTCGTAAGAGGCGACTTACGGGATCGGGTGGTCAGGCTCGCTGACTTGGTTGATGCACGTCATCATATCCAAAATGTGTGGATCGATGCTCATGATGTCAATCACTTGATTGTCTGGTCCAGACTCGATTATTCACGTGCGCGTTTATGTTGCTGACAAACCGTGAAATAAAATCATGGCTAATCAGGGATTCGAACCCACGATCATAAGTGTCTGGCACGCCGAAGGTAGGTAACTCTGCGCAGCGAATTGCGTCGTCATGAACGACTGTGCCAACCGTGTTCTATTTGTGTTAACCAATTAAGTATGAGTTAAAATTTAATGAGTGCGATACATACATACATACATACATACATACATACATACAGACAGACAGACAGACAGACAGACAGACAGACACTCACACACACACTCACAATCACACACACATACACACACAAATAAATAAGTACTTCCGTAGTGCATAAATATAATTTCAACATTAAGCATATTAGTGATCAATGGTGCCAACATTATCATTATTTGACCTTGACCTGACACAGAAAATGTCCTTGACCTCGTCTCGAAAATCTTTACTACACAGCCAAATCCAAGGAAGTATGGCCGACTTCGCATACACAAGATTTCCAGTAATAAAAAATCTTGAAACAAAATACATATAACACTCATTAGGATGACAGTCGTAAGTGTCCAGCTGTAGAACGGCGAAGGGGAGATACAATCCCACCGTCACACACGCCGTAACGAAAACGTCACAAGGAAAAGCTGTGTCGGCAGAGTAACCTCCCGCTTTTGTCTTAAAGTGTACAAATATCACAAATCCGGACGAAATAATAATTGCTCCGGACGGAATAAAAAACGCCAGATACATGAAAATTTTAGAATTTTCATCCAAGGTAAAGAAACAGTGGGCAGGCTCGGAGTTTCGCATCCCCATGGCAATGAATGGCCCTAACGCTACACACGGCCCGATCCAACACAGCATGAGGAGGACGGTTGTTATGACGCTTCGTAACTTACCACGGTACTGGGTGACCGCTCTGCGAAATGTGAAGTCCGTATTAAGGGCTACTACAGAAAGGCTACAAACTGTAGCAACGCTGTCGCCACAGGCCCCTGCTAGATAGCGTGCCAAACAGCTGTAGTTGACTCTCTGGTCAATCAAGATGTCGGTCCACATGGGCAGGAGTAAACCTCCATCTGATAGGTCGGCGAAAGCGAGGCTGGCGACTAAGATGTACTTGGATGACCTTCTCAGCTTCTTGGAACCGACGACTAGGAGTAGCACCAGCAGGTTTCCCAGGACGATTCCTACAGTGAAGACGCAGTTAAGCACAATCCGGGTTTTGCGATCCCCGGTTGGGGGGATTCTGGGAAGGTTCATGTCGTACGTCATCTTAAAGTTGAACTTGACAGTCCTGGAAGACAAAAATCGCATAAAGATGATAAATTAATTAACTGAGCATCCCAGGTTTAGTAACATAACAGTGTTTATCAGAAAAGGTCGAAATGTCGAACAAAGGTCAATTATTGCAATGGTTTGATAAGCTTGTACTAGAATAATATTATTATGATCGGTCTCTTGATCAGTTAACAATAATAATAATATTTTTGTAAAAAGTGCCCTCCGTGGTGGGCCTAGATATTGAGGATTTATTCCCCTGAAGTTTGTTTGTTTGTTTGTTTGTTGTTTAACGCCGCACTCAGCAATATTGCAGCTACATGACGGCTCTTACGACAACCATAGTCGCCTAATTCCACACACACACACACACACACACACACACACACACCACACCACACACACACACACACACACACACACACACACACACACACACACACACACACACACACACACACACACACACACACACCCCACCACACACCCCCAACCCCAACTGTAACTGGGTTACAGATCAACAGATCACAGCCCAGTCAACCTCCCTCCGGTACAAACCAACCAAACTGGAGATGGGACTTGCCCTAGGAGGAGGCACAGAACCCATCCAAGAATATCTTGGACGCAAAAAATGAAGTCCACACTTCTGGTCCACACAGAAATACCAGGAGTAAATGGCAAATTATGGAAGCAGCATTGGGACAAAGCCATGTCAATGTATGCAAACCTGAGAGAACAAAAATCCCTGACCAGCTCCGGCGACTAACATAATAAATGCGCCGTGAACCTGGTAAGTTAACTGCCAACAGTCGACCTTTGCATGACCCCTCAGCTCCAACAGTAGAAGACCCGAAATTGCGGATGATCATTCGCATTAATCTCCCTAAATTACCTGACGCAGTTGTCAATCGTGACCCACATATGGGTCACAAAATGAAATTCCTGGTGGCCTCGAAGATTTTGAGTTTTCTCCCGATTCCGAACCCTCTTCTGTCAATGATCTTTCTAATGATGCGTTGCATATTTTATTTATGTCATTCTATAATCAAATCTGTGATTTACCGATTGAGAAACGGAGGCCAATCAAACAACTGAACCAATCATTTCAAACAGAATCAGCTTGATAAATTCAATTACATTCTGTCACTCTCAACGCGGACAGATACACAACTAAATACAAAGTGTGAGACAACAAAAGAGAAAATTCTAAATCAAAATCTTGATTCCTTGAATGCAAAGTTAAAGATTTGAACAGAAAAAAAAGAAAGTGGGACAATAAAATAAAAATAATTTCATAAAACAAAATAAGCTGTTCAAAACTGATGAAAAACATATTTATGGGCAATTAAGTGCAAACACTGGCATTGATGAGGAAAGACCCACCATTTGATTCCAGTGAAAGGTTTTGGACACAGTTGTGGTCAATACGTATACCAGATAACTGCCGCCTCGAGGAGTGTGAGTGAGTGAGTTGGGTTTAACGCCGCTTTTAACAGTATTCCAGTTGTATCACGGCGTGTCAGCTTAATGTGGGAGGAAAGCCCGAAGTGATGCAGGTCTCAGACGTTTACCACTTCGGTGAAACCCATGAGCATGGGTATGGTGCTGACAAACCTAGAAACATAATCGGGGCGAACCGGGATTCGAACCCACAATCATAGGTTTCTGGCGTGTCCAAGGGACGCAACTCTGCACAGCGAATCGCGGCGCCTTAGACGACTGGGCCACCCGTGCCCCCGCCACCTCGAGGAACTAAGGGGAGAGGACTACAGTAATAAGGTACAAGAATAAAATGTCACCATTGTTGTGTTTCATTACACCTTGTTTCCTGAAAAAAAATTAATTAAAAAGTCTAAATCCCATACGGCGCCAAGGCCTGGTGGTATTCGAAACCGGTTTGGGAAAATGTTCCCGTGTGTGTCCGAACACAATTACTGCACTGTTTAAGTTCTCTTATGCATACAGGGGCGGTGGGGTAGCAAAGTGGTTAAAGCGTTCGCTTGTCACGACCAAGACCCGGGTTCGATTCCCCACATCGGTACAATGTGTGACGCCTATTTCTGGTGTCCCCCGCCGTGATATTGCTGGAATATTGCTAAAAGCGGCGTTAAACCATACTCACTCACTCCACCAGAATCTCACAGGGTAGAACACCATTAACTTGACATATCATATCTGTACTGATTGAAAACAACACTTAGAGCGATACAACCCACTTGACACATGCTATCAATGCTGTTGTCATTATCAGACTGAGAGTGTTATGTCAATATGTTCCACACATCTAGACAGCAAAATGCATGTAAATGATACCAAGTGCTTGTTGTAATATACCGTGATATTGCTGGAATATTGCTACAAGCGGTGTAAAACCATACTCATTCACTCACTCACCTCTTCACTCTTGTGGATACAGGGGATGTTCCACTCATGTTGTGCAAAGGTCGAACAATATTTGACTGACCTTAAAAACTTGTCTGAACACACAGTACAAAATATTTACAGTGGCTGATCGTGTGTCATCATACAACGCTTCCAATGACAGTATTTACATGGAGCAGAAAGGAGCCAGAAAGGGATGTTGGGGTTGTAAGGATCAATTGCTGGTTCAGAAAATGACCCTTGAAGAGGTTACCACCGTAACCCCTCAATGTGTTGGATAGACTTCAGAAAAGCTTATGATTCTGCATTTTGAAGTCGCTGGAATGTATTGACACGAGCAGGAGGTGACTTTGGAACCAATTTCTATTAGAAGAGGAATATTTCAGGGCGACTCTTCTACTCCTTTGCTTTTCTGTTTGTCACTAAATCCTTTTAGCTTTTTGCTACGCAAAGAGGATAGTTAGGGCTTCAGAAAATTCTAAGAAGCTTTGTGAATACCGCCCCAGGATTATAACTATCCTCTTTGCTTAGCAAAAAGCTAAAAGGATTTAGTGACAAACAGAAAAGCAAATATTCCTCAGCACAGATCACCAACACCCCTTACTCGCACCCTTTACATGGATGACTTTTAACTTCTTGCCAATGGAGAATCAACTCTAAAAATTCTCCTTGTCGAGTCCTTTTCTAAGTTGTCTGATTCCAAATTCTACTCGATGCCTTTGGGGTTTGGAACCTCCAAATCTGTTGACTGACTTTGGGAGAGTACCCAAGTTTGCTGCCAGGAATACAGACTACTGACAATCTGGGTTCCACAAATCGCTTAGAAAAGTAGACGTGAATGTGTCCAAAGTTAAGATATCATACACATTGTTAATTCTTGATCTAGTTGATCCAGTTGATCCAGTCATTCAAAGGTGCCGCCATTCACATACGAGACCAACTGGTCTTACAGGTTACCGAAAGATGCAGGTTGTGATGAATGCCACAATTTGATTAGAATTGCGTCACTGAAGCGTGTAAACATTTTCTCATTCTTTTTCGAAACAAACACATCTGAAACTACCATAAAGATTTTAAGAGGTATAATTGCTCTCTTTTTCATTCTGCAGATGCTGTGGCCCACCTCCACCTTGTCCAGCGTAGAATCGTTATTGCCTCAACGTATGTCTAGGTGTCCACGTACAGGAAAGAGACAGTAAAGTTATTAAAAACAAAATAATTTTATGTTGAAGCCTTTGAAGGCATAGCTGCATGTGTTATGTAGACATTGTCATAATGTAAACAGATAATGACGTCACGGGCACAGTTATAAAGGTGGGGCCAAATGTTCAGTATTCTAACACGTGGTCAGCGCTTATACACAATGAAGTCACCTTGAAGAGGAGGCATCACAGATCACAGATCGGTCAACGCTCCATTGTCATGTAAACATTCTATAACTGGTCGCCGAACGTCACACGTCTGATAAGGGCTACTGGAATCCGTTGCCATTCCTCAACTAGTGCTTGAGCAAGGCCTTGTCTTGTAAGTGAATGAAATGGTCGTGCTCTACACCAGCGATCCAGAAAATCTCAAAGATGCTCTATGGGGGAGATGTCGGGAGATCTCAGCGACCAGGACAAGACGTTGGCGTACAGAAAGTTGATCGTAATCCTTACCGAGTGCAGTCTGACATTGTTGGAACAGGTTGTCTGGGTAGTGCCACAGAAATGGAAGGACAGCAGGACAAGGCACTTGATCGATACAGCGTTGGGCAGTCAGTTTGGCACCGAAAACGACCAGATCTGTGTTAACGCCACCACGGAATCCTTCCAACACCATTACGCTACCTGCACCAAACAGTGCGACCTCCCGAACACAGAAACATGCCTCCTGTTTCCCTTGCCGGCGGTGTACTCTGATTCTCCCATCAGCCCTGAAGAGTTGGAACCAACTCTCGACAGAGAAGAGAACTCTTTGCCAGTTCCTGTTCTGCCACTGATTTTCAGTGTGTGCACCTCTAAGACTCTGACGTCCACGTTGGCGTTTTAGGACGGAACGGTCTATCAGCCCGAATAGGAGCTCCTAGACCCTGTCCCGCTGACTCGACGAAAAAGGGTGCTCGCAGATGATGACGTCACCATCACGAATCGGTTCCTAAGGTACAAATCCTGAAGGTAGTGGTCCCCGGTGGATCTGGTAACGGGTGGTATGCTCGTATGATTTGCCCTGGCACTGCTCCTTTTGGACGTTTATCATTATTTCAAAAGAGCTGCCTCGTACGGAATAGTTTTCAGAAAATTGCAAAAGCCTCCATGCTTTTTTCGTTTTCTGCCAATCAGGTCAGTATGGCAGTTCATGACCTGAATAGACATGGGGCCATTCCATTTTTAAAAAAGGATGGTCTAAGTTAAGGAAGTCCTTCATACCAATTTAAAGCTGAATTTGAAAAAAAAAATGATGGAGAAAACGTGAAACGGAGACATATTTCTGAAGTCTAGCTATGTATGAAGGTGCAGAGTGGGGACCACACTAGTATCCGCCAAACAAAGGCATGGAAAGGTTGGTAGTGAAACTGACAGGGTATGGGACCTGGACACCTTCTCATTGAATGGACATCACATGTCGATTATCTTGATGTAAGTTATGATGCGG